GTAACGCTCAATTATTTCAAGATAAACCTCTAAACGTACCCCCCGCGAGATTTCCTCCGCCATCGTCGACCGATTTCCGGCGATGTTTCGCCATTTTTGCCCCGAGTCTTTTTCCGCCTCGCGTGATAAACGCCTGCTGATATCCCGACGAGCGTATATACCCCGGCGAAATGCGGAATCTCCTCGCAATATTGCGCCTCCACTTATCACCGAGATTTGCATCTTCTCCGAATGTTGTTCCTACGACTGCGCTTCGCCAGTCGATACGTAACAGGAAACTCGGATTCCCCGACATCGCGGCGAGCTCAAATTTGTATCCCTAATTCATATGCACTAATTGCAGGCAAATGTTTAAAGAATTGTATTTTTTTTACCTTTCTTGTCGCGATCATTTATATCTATTAGTAACCCACGTAGGATATCGGCAAAGACACCAGCTGAGAATTCAATCTACCAATGTAGAACTTACATCCGTATGTCACATTTTCGTATGTGGGGCCCAATTAGAATCTTCTAACAATAAGTCGGCTCAATAAAGGAAGAATAGGACGATTACGTTCGACGTATAATTCAATTATAGTGTATTTAGAAAGTGGCATTTATAGGGTCAATGAAACTTTTTTGCGAACTGAACGTATCTAATTATTTGAAACTGTACCACAGACCCTGACATCCAAGAAATTTTATTCAATAATTTGATTATAAACATTTGTTAATCTTTTAATAAAAAAAAAATAAAATGAAATTCTTGAATGCGTGGTCCTTTCTTAGGGTGTCTATATTCATGATAATATTTCAAACGATTCGACATATCTGGTATGAAGTTTCATAAATGAGATCCCTCAGATGTCAGTTTCATATCACCTTAAGGTGAAGTGAAACCCCCTTAAAATCAGTCGATTCGAATACAGCATTTTTTTTAAGGGTATTGTATAAAACTGTCAGAAACTTTGACACTCCTGATCATCTAAGAATTGTCCTGACACATTCAAAATTTGAATTTCTGGGATAAATTTTTTAACTTATCCAGACCAGAACCAAATGGCGTCCAGCTCTCATATTTCGATCAATATACAATTATCGAAAGCTCTGATATGAGAAGCGAAAGGGTCGGGACAATTTTATGACAATTTAGAACACTCCGGTAATCGATAAACTCGCATTTGAACGGGATAAAGGTAAAAAAAGTGTTGTATGCGCTTCTACGCTAAAACGGTGGGAATACGAGGTCTCTAAGTGATAATTTAATTGACCTGGAAATCACAGATGGTGCAAGATATCCCTCTGCAGTCAATTAGGGCCCCATAAATTATGAATCCAGAGGGTTTCTGGAGTTTTACTTGGATTTCTTTATAATTATTGTACGAAAACGACAGGTGGAGTATGCCATTTGGTACAATACCCAATATAATTCGACATCACTGTCAATATAAAAACGAACGTCGGCAACGGAGGTATTTAGAAAAATCTTCTTTATCGACGTCGATCAAGTTCCCCGACGTGTTTCACTTCGCCTTAAAGCTTTATGCGTTACGTGACAGAAGTTGACATTTCTTTCTATTAATAAGCGCGTTTATTGACGTTTGGGAACAGCGGGCACACGCAGCCGCTTAAATTGACAGTAAGTTAAACAATGGTGGAATACTTTCGGTGTAGTGGGCGGCGTCATAATGTCATTCTGGGTTAACCGCACCCCCTGTTGGCGCGCAACCCCATTATCGCTTTTAAATTCTGAAGACCTGCAACACTGCCAAATACGGCCCTACCGTCAACGCGGCATGTCTGGCCCGAAATACCTTTCAGGGAGGACTTTTTAAATCAATACACACACATTTGCGAATCAATTATTCGCGATAATTGTCCGCGGTATCGTATTTAAGAGATTCTATAGAGACTCTCGCGAAGAAGCATCTAAGTCGTGCAGATCAAAGAGAGTTAAATGATATTCTTTAGACTATATTTAATTTCATTGTCATTGGTCTTTTAATTTATATAGAAAAGAAAATGACGTATGTCTAACAAGTGCAACGAAATCTTATCATAGGGGAATCGAAAGCGTACCCCATAGATGTTTCTTCCGTTACTCCACATTTGTGACATCTAGTACTAAATCATCTCATATAGTCTTTTCTATTACTCACCACTTATGTAAACATCTACTATCAGTTGTCAGAAATATTAAGTAACGACGAAACTGTATCCAGGATACGATTTAGATAGCTAAACTGTTAACAAAATTTCGGTGAATTTTATAACATTTTTGATGGATGTTTTATTTAGACATGGTATATTAATTTTATAACATAGTTTCAAATGAAATATATAACATGTGTTATAAATTTAGTACACACGTGTGTAATAAAATTATGAAGGATATTAGTGATTTTATGATATCTGTATAATAATTTCAGGACAATTGTATGTAGTAAAATTATACAAAAAAAGTAATAATTTTAGAATACACATTTATAAAATTATGAAATAGTATAGCATTAAAAACGCATCTCAGAAAATTATAAATAAAGTGTACTAACTGACTTCCGAATACAAAATTTATAATTTTCCCTCGCAGTTTCACAAAATTATACCTTAATGTAATAAAATTGTTAAATTTATTTAGTAGTTTGCAACAAATGTATACTAATTCACTTTTAAGACATGAAATTTATAATCTCATTCCAACCCTACGTACCAAAAGTGTACGAATAATATGAAAGTTTTTAACGTCGTAGGACGTATTTATCAACGTTCCTCTTTTTATTTGTCGCATAATCGGCGCCGAGTACTTCAATTTACAAGCCGTACCTTCCCAAGAAATCGCAATAATTTTTGTAATGTCCAAATCACCTTGCAATGAATTACCCCAATTGCGCATAAATTCATTATTCCGTGGCAAGAGCGAGAGGGATATTCGACATGAAACAGCGGCCCATTAAGTACGATACGACATAAAACGAGAGCGCCTCCCTACAAGAAAATTTAAAAAAAAAAAAAAACTTCCGAAGAAATCGCAATAATTCTTGTAATGTCCAAATCATCTTGCGATGAATTACCCCAATTGCGCATAAATTCATTATTCCGTGGCAAGAGCGAGAGGGATATTCGACATGAAACAGCGGCCCATTAAGTGCGATACGACATAAAACGACAGCGCCTCCCTACAACAAAATCGTCAAAAAGAAAAACCTTCCCAAGAAATCGCAATAATTCTTGTAATGTCCAAATCACCTTGCAATGAATTACCCCAATTGCGCATAAATTCATTATTCCGTGGCAAGAGCGAGAGGGATATTCGACATGAAACAGCGGCCCATTAAGTACGATACGACATAAAACGCGAGCGACTCCCTACAAGAAAATCTTTGAAAAGAAAAACCTTCCCAAGAAATCGCAATAACTCTTGTAATGTCCAAATCACCTTGCGATGAATTACCCCAATTGCGCATAAATTCATTATTCCGTGGCGAGAGCGAGAGGGATATTCGACATGAAAGAGAGCGCCTCCCTACAAGAAAATGTTCAACAAGAAAAACCTTCCCAAGAAATCGCAATAATTCTTGTAATGTCCAAATCACCTTGCAATGAATTACCCCAATTGCGCATAAATTCATTATTCCGTGGCAAGAGCGAGAGGGATATTCGACATGAAACAGCGGCCCATTAAGTACGATACGACATAAAACGCGAGCGCCTCCCTACAAGAAAATCAGAGGACTCGCGGTCCGGCGGAGGTCCAGGGGTCGGAGGCCGGGGTGGAGGGAGTCGAGCTCGCAGGCCGAGAGATAATAAAGTTGATAAGGGTGTAGAGCCACCCCTCCCGGCGGCGCCCCTTAGGGGTGGCGGAGGGCGTGACCAGGCGGGCCGGCGCGGCGCGATTGGCCGATCCGGGGGCGGCTTCGTCAAATAAAATCCAATCGGTGACTAAAGGAATGCGAGTCTCCAGGGTTTTTTCCCCGCCGGGTGCTCCTTTTAAGGGGGTGTGCAGGGCCGTTTGATGGGAGTATGATTTTATTACGGCATTACCAAGGCCGAGCCAAACCCCGAATTGCTCGGCTTATAGTCTGCATCATCTCGGCCGCAGGGGTGGGGACAACCCCTGGCCCGGGGTGGGGCACGTCGAGACACCACCTATGCCTCCGCGTAGGCTTTCATTCGAGGGTTGCTCGCGAGCGTTGCGGGGATCCGTTTGCGTTCCCCGAGGTCGAGGTCTCACCCCGCGACTTGGACTTCGGGACAGTGACAAGTACCGCGAACATGTGCTCGGGTGTGAGGTCGGGAGACGAGGTCGACGCCGAGAATCCGAGGACGGGTTGAGCGATGGCGGGACCGAGACTCCGGCCGGTACGGTAGGGATCTGGAGGACGCGGAGGATAAGGGGAGAGAGGTCGGAAGAGATTCGGATGAAAGTTCAAAACTGAAATACTCGTCGACTGGTCCGGCGGCGATGGAATCGAGGTCGAGGTAGAGGGATCGAGAGGTCACGAAGAATGCTACAAGGGGGCAAGATGGCGATCGCGATCGGCGAGGGCCGATGACGTTGCATCGGGAATCGATTCTCCGGAGGAAATCGGTGGCGTCTTGGGAGCTGGTTGGGGGCAACGCAGGGACGACCCTGGGGGATGATACGCGTGGCGGAGGTAATTATGAAGGGAAGTTGCGTAATCTCTTGATTTACCCATAGATTGTCCGGGCTGCTAGGCGTCGTTGCTCCGGGATGACGGGTTGACCAAGAAATTCTCCGAGATAAGAGAAACCTTCGAGACTGCACCTTGCACCTTAAATACCATCGAAAGTAATCCAGAAAGCGTAACGGAATTTTCGGCAATTTGGCCCGGATCTCGAGTTTTCCCAAAGAGAGGAATCAGAGATCTCTCGGAAATGGCGGAGTCTCGCGATTGATAGGAGAGGGGCCACGGAAGTGCCGAAAACGGAGAGTCGACGGTGGCAAACCATTCCGGACCGTCTTGGCTGAGAACCTCGCGGCCCTGCCCCCGCGCGGGATGTTTCCCTCGGCAGCGATGATGCTGAAGAACCTGCAACAGGGAACCATGACGACCTCTCCTTTCCTGATGGAGAACCTCCTGCGGAGCAAGACGTCGGAGGACACCTTGGTCAGTCTAAGAATGAACCGGCTGATGGTCTACCGCAGGGAGAACGTAAGGACTTTGCAGAGACAGGGCCAGGAGGAGTCCTGCAAAGGAGTCGTCGTCGAGAGGTCGGCCAACTCCGACAGGGATCGCGTCCTGAGCAGGATCAGCGGCGAGCTGTGGCAAGAGAGGACCTCCCTCGACAGATTCCAGAGCCTGCAGGACCACAGGGATCTTTCGGACTCTCCCATAGACCTGGAGAACGACAGGCTGAACACGGGAATGGACGGACACTCCGGCGGGATCGACGGTCTGAACCACGTCGTCGAACGACTCAGCGAAAGGATCGAGTCCACCAGGTCGAACTTGACCATGGACTCCAATAACTCCGTGGACAAGGACAGGCAATCCGCCGAGAGGGAGGAGGGCATCAAGCAGGAACGCGAGGAGGTCCTCGGGGCGAGCCCTGACAGGATCACGATACAGGTGAACAGACTCTTCGATCTGAGCAGAACCGGCGTCCCGGCGTACGAGGATATGCGGACCCATCTCGAGAGGGAGACCGATAGCGCCGACAAGATGCACCTGTCCTCCCCTCACGAGGACACCCTCTCATGCGGGGACGATAGATGCACCGGCCCGGCGTGCAGGAGCATCCAGGAGAAGGAGAAACCGCAGCTCAAGTTCAGCGTTAATGCCATCCTTGGGGAGAATCACGACAGGAGACCGAACCCTGGTAAATCCTTTTTTAAGTCATCGTTAAGGGGTGGAGTGAGCTTTATGAGTAAAAGTCGATTGAGTTAATGGTTAAAGATTGTAAAGCAATTGCTCCGTACCGATGGAAAGAGCTTCGATGTATCGTCCTCTTACGTAATAGGGAGTTTGCCCTTTCGGGACGTGATATTCCAATTATCGAAATTTTTATACCGATATTAATGGTGAGAACATCATTTTTGGCCATTTTTCTTTCGGTTGGAACTATATTGACGGGGTTGAAAATTAAGTTTTCTGACCGATAACTTCGGATTGAGTACTTGAAGACAAAAAGTGGAGGAGGATAAATGACTTACTCCGACGGATTAGTGAATGATTCTAAACACTGTAAGTTGGTTTTAGTTGAATCCTTTTTTTTTAGCAAGGATGAAGATTTCTATAAACAGCTACGATTTTAGGAATAAACATTACCTGCGATTTTTTCATTCTGTAACCTCTAAAAATTGAAAGTGAATAATTCTTAAAAGAACAAATAAAATCGTAGAGACTCGATATCAAAACGAAGAATGGAATAACGGCGTCATAGTTTTGTGTTACCAATAATATTCATAAATTCATTTATATAACTCTATTCTTTAATTAGTCATTAATAATTCGTGACAAAAATTACAATTTAATATATTTATATACTAATAGCAACATTCTGCACACAAAATAAAAATTTATTACCTTAATTCAATGAACGCAAGTCCTGGTAACAATGTAAGAACACCGTTGTCGTCATTCGTACAATTTTCCGGCGATTGCTGATTTTTTAACAATTTAATTAGAATTTCAGAGGACAAATCCTACATACACGACCCAGTAATTACGTTTTTCTAATAAATAACATAATATTAACCCTAGCGATAAAGAAGGCTGTATACTTTATATTAACTTCAACTGATTCGAATGAGCAATAAAATCATCGTACCAAAATCTACACACCTAATTAACGATTTTAACGGTCTATTTAAGTACGTAAATGAATTTCGTCGAGTCGGAGTTGCTCTGCCCCTTATCCGATGATGTGGCGAATCGTCCCCCTAAAGTGGTCACCCGATAGGACAATGGTTATCGAATCATCGGGCATTTGAGGAGCCGCGATAAAGAGAAGCGATTTCCTTTAGGGCAGTGCCCTGGCAGTTTTAGAATTGAAACAAAGGTCACCACAAATCAGTGTCGAGAGCAGACTTCTCTCGTCGGTCCCTAAATCTCATCCACACACCCTCAAGACAAGTCGCAGCGTGCGTGCAGGGTGGAGTCGGCGTCAGCTGGTTCGCCACTTACCTTCACCCTAATATTAAGCCCTTACGATTGGTGCCCATAATATCAGACAAGCAGCACGCTCTAATGACGTATCGTCTTTCGTCATTCGTCCCATTTCCGTCCCATTTACGTCCCATTTCGGTCTCCAAATTTTGATTCTCGTTCAATAGAACGGCACCACGGGGTGCTAAAATTCTACCTTTATTTTCTCTACGAGCACCCGTTGAAAGTACGAAAGGGAGAAAAAGAAACGATTACATGAATTACTCAATACTTAAAAGGATATTCGAGTTAATGTTGAAAATTGAAGATGCGAGAAGGTGAAGTGAGAAGTGAAACGTTATCGTGCTCTTGTTGATTAAAAGGAGATTATTGATGAATTAATTTGCCTCGGTACTGATTTTCGGATTTTCTTGAATTTTCAGGTCTTAATGTGCTATAATTATACGGTGGGTGGAATTGGGGTGGTGTACGGTAAACGTTAAATGTAGTATCACGGCAGAACCGGCATTACAGGGGTTAATTAAATTTAATTCGATTTAATTATGCTGAGGATTTAAATGATATTAGTAATAGTTATGAAGTATATAATACGGATAAAACCCGAGTTTAAGTACCGAGGATTACGATGTTAATATTATAAATGCTAAGGTAGTTTGACTAAAATTGAATGAAAAAAAGAAATAATCCCGGCTTTATGTGATATAAGATGTCTCGACAAGAATAGTTCAAAGTAAGAATTACGAAGAATTAATATTAATGATAGCAAATATATTTAATCCTTTGATGTCCTTTGTTTCTGACATTTATATGAGTATATTTTTTTAACTACATTAATAACACTCAAGAACGCGAACACGGAATAAAAGTAATATAAACAATGTCGTATTACGTGCGTGTTCTTATCCTCACTCTTTCTTTAAAGGGTTCCGAATGTAACTTTTCACTGCGCGAAATAATCCAGAAAATTGATTATCTCACTAGTTTTCAAATGCATACACGATCCTGTTTGAATCTAAAAGTAGTGTATCGAAACCAGGACTCCTCCACTAAAGAAATACCTATTCATTTTATAAAATTATGAAACAAAACAATGGTAGAAGTCTATACCATTCGCCATATCCCAATATTAACATATAAAGCCGAAGCAAAAATAAGAAAAATCCCTTTTTTACTTTTCTGTCAATATTATTCAATACCCTCTCCTATGGAACAAATTCTGTGATCAAAAAATGTTGTCGGCTAAACTTTAAGATGATCTTAAAAAAAATAAACTATACGTCTTATTAACTTAAAACCTTCAGGGCATACTCAACTACACGTTCAGACCACGCAACTCTTTTCTCAAGTAAAAATATTGTATCGTTTCAGAGTTATACGTAATTCGTTGGAATGTCTTAAAAAGAAAGTTCTCTGGTAATAAACGTGAAATTAGTTTTTGCAGTGGTCTGGAACAGAAAAAACAGGACAATTCTTCGTCTGCACGAGTACGGCTATCGTTGGGACTACGGTTACCTAAAAATACCATAAAATAATAAAATAGCCGAAATTTTGACGGAAACGTTTCAATTTCATCCCAAAGAGCGGTAGATTCTTAAACTCTCAAAAATATCGAATGCTGCACAAATTGAAAAACCTTTAGTTCCAGCAAGAATTAAACATCCACTGAACATACTTTCAAAATCTCAAGTGGATTCGATATCTTTCACGTTCGAGATACTTCAGACCCCAAGTCAAAAAATGCCGCTTCGCCAGAAACGTATTTAATGCTTTACGTTTCCCATCTGTGTACACAAAATATACTTTAAATAACCCTTACGGCTACTCAGTTATTCCAGGGTCGTACGAGACACCTTCCTCTTCTCCATGAAGGTTTTTTGACCGATCGAGAAAAAATCAATCTAGTCGACCCCCGACACTAGGAAGGCCCCTTAAAGAACCTCTAGCGCCCACCATCGTCGCTTTATCCACCCCGGTGTGGCGGTGCACCCATCCCGGCCATTGTATAATATATTAATTCCGCAAAAAAAAAAATAAAAAAAATAAAAAAAAGGAAAAAAACAACCCCCCGTCGCCAGTTGCGTTTCGGACGCGCCGGTTGCCCCGCGAATTCCCCTTGTTAGCGAGCGATGACGCCGCTCTTTTTTCTCAGGGGTGATTGACGCCAGTCGATAAAGTTCCTACATGCATGATAAACACCCGTACGCGCGGCCACGCCGAGCGAATGTTGCATTTAACATCGGCGAATCGCGTTGCTCGTTGCGCCGTTGCGCGCGTATCGGGTGGGGTGTTTCGTGCGTTTGTCGGCGCGGAGAGCGGATGCGGATGTGGATGCGGATGCGGATGCGGATGCGGATGCTGATGCTGATGCTGATGCGGCCGTGCCACGTGCATGTGTTACATCCCCGGTTCGGCCGCGCTTACCCCCCGGGCCCGCCGGCCCCGTTTATACGTCACGTTGAAACGTAGCGAAATAATCGCGCGAAAAAGTGATTAGCAACGAGTTCGAATCTCATCGACAGGTGGACGGGGAAAACGCCGGGGGAGGATTTCCACCCCTCGGGCGGCCGCCCTCGGTGCTGCCTTGATCGTAGCCGAATTATTGCCCTCTTACGTATCGCCAATTGACGCGACTTTGGGTGGTCGTGGAATGATATCCCGACGGGAAGAACGGATTACCGGAAATTGAGTATTTGTTATTCAATCTAATGGGGAATTGAATTGAGTTGCGAATCTTAGGATTTGAATGGAGGTAAACGAGTCTTTGATAATGCCCCAGGGATTGCAAGTCTGCCTGGCATTAGGGTGCTGACGCCTTCGGTAAGAATTTATACCGTGAATTGTTATAAAAATAAAATCCTTCCGCGCTTTCATATTAGCAAGATTTTATATAAGTTAGTGGATATTCAATTTTTCACGTACATCGTGTTCTATTGGAACCGTTGCTAAATTTGTCAGTTCTTTCTGTGCCGTGGTTGATCTTAATTCATTTTTATTGATGATTAATTTAGAATATGATCGTTTCCCACCAAAGACACTTATAGGAGTAGTTAATAGAATTCTTGAATCATTAGGGAAGGTATTTACTAGAAACGATGGTACGCATAAAATAGTGGTTAGAAAATAGAACACCACTGATATGACCTGTCACGTTTAGAAACAATGTATCTCGGTCTTTCGAAAGAACTGTTTAATGAAAATAAAAAAATTCTGTTTCGGCATTTGAGGTGAGACTGTCATTGCCGCTTTTTGCATCAAGCACTCCTATGCCTTGTGTGAGCTGCTTAGGGCATTCCGTTGGCCCTGCAATTATGTAATCTCGTCATTTCGAAGTGAAGAAGGTAATTACATTAATTACCTCCAGTTACATTAATAGAGTTTTATTCTTTTCCAGCGTTTTCGGTACACTATGAACACGAGGGCGAGTTCGATAAATGCATGAACATAATCCAAAGAGGAAATAAACTGAAAAATCAACTATCGTCATGGTTCTTCTCGATCTAGAAGCTCATTTTCTTATCATTTCCCTCCTCTACTTCAAGTAGAACAGTACTCAGAATTAATTCTTGAACTAAGAAAATTATTTATCTACCTAACCTGCGCAGGGCATACCATTTTTTGTTTTTATTATTTAAGCCATCGCGTCATCAGGCAAGTTTTTTTTTTTCGAAGGAACAAATCTGGGGAATCGGATTTGTCGTGATTTAGACGTTACGTTTTTTCTTTTTTTTTTTCCAAGAACGCCAGAAAAGATTTGTTCCCTAACGCTAGAAGCGTCCCGGTCGAGCGTCTGATTCACCGCAGAATTCCCGCAGGACAAATATCCCTTGCCCCGGGAATCGTTGTTCCATTTGGGACGAAACCTGCAGCGGTATCTAGTTAATAATGCATCAAAACCTAATCCCAAAGAATAACCACCTATCCGGGGTCGAATAAAAAAGCCGAGCTAAGCCGGGCGAAAGAGGCTACAACTGTAACAACACGAGCGTCCTCTCGGTCGCCCTTAATCTCGGGGTTAAAAAATGATTTCCATTCAGTGTTTCCGTTGGACCCTAAGCCGTTATTAGCTGGCGCAGCTCGAGGCCGCGCTCTCATTGGCTGGCTAGGAAAACAACGATAAAAGGCGATGAGTATTTTATGGGGTTTCCCGGACAATGGGAGGACGCGCATGGGCCATTGTCGGGCATTGTCTGCCAGGGCGCAAACCAAACCCCCCGGCTAAGGCTCCATTATTTTATTATTTTCAAACACGTCAGTTTTTTTTTTTCGGGACCGCTGGGCGTGGCGGACTCTCTGAAAGAGAAAGAATGTTCGAAATGGTCCTCCTGGACCCACCCCTCGAGCTTACGCGTCATTGTTGTCATTCGTTCTTCCTGTTCCACGGGGGTAGCTCGCGAGATGCGACCCCGAGCCCTTCACGTTCGCCATATCCCAACTGGGCGGTTACTACATTCAGATTTATCGCTAACCAAGATTTGATAGATTGGGACGAAGCGATTATTCGTGTCGTGGGATTTTGGGGGTCGATCTCGGCCACGGGGGTCCTTCGCTGGGAACCAATGGCGGCACTTCGCCGGATGATATGGTTTTAATTTGTCTGGTTCTCGAGTAATTGGTCCGGTCATATTCAAAGTTTCACTTTTTCTCTCGTTATGGCAAGAATTTCTTTGAAAGTACTTCTACCTAGGATATTACCGCATTCAAGTTCATCGATAATCGAGCATCGATAAGTTAACCTTTTGCACTCGAGCCGGCACATCGCGGCATATTTAATGAACTGCTTACCTCTAACTTAGAATGATTACACATATAAATTAATGTATAAAACTTTTGTATTTTAACATTTTATCTATTTTTACAAGTCTAAGAAGAAAATTTCTTAAATATTAGTGTCTGTACTGTTGTTTAGTATGATATTTTATAAAGCAATTGCCGAGATGCATCCCCGGCTCGTCAGTACACGCATTACAGTTCAAAAATTGTCTGGTGTCTTTTGCCGAACTCTTTTCACCCGGCAGATCCTGCAATCCTTCCTATGTCCTGTTAAAATGACATACAGTTTTCCATTTAATCGGATATGTTCGAAATAGGAGGTTGAAGTGGAAGCTCGATCACAAGTCTGGTGAAAATCTCCACTCAATTGCTTAACTAAGGTTTTCACATATCGCAGATGACTAATAGACTGCTCTTTTTTTTTTACTGTTTTATACAGAATATATGAATTGATTAAACATATTTCTAGTCCTCAAAAAAAATAGTTTTCGCCACTATTTCAAGGATTTCCTTCAAATAAGAAAATCTTGTCGCTATTTGAAGATGCGTCATTTTACATTTCGGAAGGTTATACACAGTGCTACTTTTCGAGTTTCATAAAAATTAAACGCAGATAAACATTGCTGTCGCTCGATGTATCGCGTCAAACCGAATGGTGATTGTGAATCACCGTTCGAGTTGCAACAAAGTAAGAGCGAGGGTTACCTCTCGAGTGCAAAGGGTTAAAATTAACTTTGCCGTCGGAAATGGTTTTGATGATGTTGGATCTCCCGAGTAATTCCAGCCATGTTCGCAGTTTCAAGAACAATTTTCTCATTATCTTTTTAACACGTCTCTACTTAAAATGGGGATCCGTCGTTGGAAATCAATGGCAGAACTTTGCTAACTGAAATGCTTTAATTTTTCTGGGACTCGGATAATTAGTTTGGCCATGTTAGCAATTTCAAGGAGAATCTTTATCTATTTCTTGAAACAATGTTTTTGAACATGCTTCTACCCAGAACGTTAGGATGTCGTAGAATTTAAGGGTATTCCTTTGGTCTCGAGGCTGACCCTATGTGGCAGAATTTTGCGAAGTGAAATTTTAACTTCATAATTCCTGAAATAATCAATCTAATCGTACATTAACATATTTATACATTAAACGCTTTCAGAATTTTTTGATTGAACATCTCTCTACTAAATTAAGAGATCTAAATTTATGATAATCGTTTTCGAGTGTACCGTCACGTAAATTAAATACAAGTAGGCTTTTATTGAAATTTGATTACTAAGAGAAGAAGCTGCTCGCGTCGGGTGTGACGATTATTTTTTAACTACTTCCAGTCTAAGGTGCGACAGAATAGAACCGATATAAGTCGGACGCAAGAAACATTTATAAAGAATAAACCGACGTGTATAAAATACGATAGCTGTAACAAAACGATCGTAAAGTAATGGCTCCACGCCGATCGTTCGGCTGTGCTTTATGGTGGCGTCATGTTTCATTTAATATGGGTAGATACCTTCGGGTAACACATGATCCATGGCGTCTCTTTACACAAAACCGACGGGATTATTTTAACGTCCCTATAAAATTGTCGAATCCCACCTGTCGCTTAATCTCTCCATTAATTGACATTTCTAGCCGAGCAATTAAGCCGGAGCGCAATTCTATTTCGCAGGCAGATTTACATTACAGGATTATAACAATGCTTATTCCGATGGTATACTTCACAAGATTAATAAACGCGTCAATACCCTTCTGCATCTGAACTAAATATTAACATTAGGATAACCAAATCTGTAAAATTGTCGGATTTCAGATGGCCCACCAATAAAAATCCGCCGGTAGATCTAGGGTGAATATGCATCCCTAAATTATGATGAAAATATAATTCTTGATATTCTCTTTGTGACATTACGTGACGCTCTAAAATGCAATTTTAATACGCCATTATCTCCAATTATTCCCAAGATTATTTCAACAGTTAATTCGTCACTTTAATTGGATCACAGTTGCAGCTGATAAGTTGAATATTATCGTTAATAAAAATCGATTTAATGATAAAATATGTATGTAGAAGGAACAATGTACTACATGCGACAACGGTGGTTCTTCTTGCGAGGGAATTATAATAAAAACATAATTCTTGTCATTCACTTTGTGACATCACGTGACGCTCTAAAGTGCAATTTTAACGCGCCATTATCTCCAATTATTCCCAAGATTATTTCAACAGTTAATTCGTCACTTTAATCGGATCACAGTTACAGCTGCTAAGTTCAATATTATCGTTAATAAAAATCGTTTTAATGATAAAATATGTATGTAGAAGGAACAATGTATTACATGCGGCAACGGTGGTTCTTCTTGCGAGGGAATTATAATAAAAACATAATTCTTGTCATTCACTTTGTGACATCACGTGACGCTCTAAAGTGCAATTTTAACGCGCCATTATCTCCAATTATTCCCAAGATTATTTCAACAGTTAATTCGTCACTTTAATCGGATCACAGTTACAGCTGCTAAGTTCAATATTATCGTTAATGAAAATCGATTTAATGATAAAATATGCATGTAGAAGGAACAATGTATTACATGCGATAGGACGGAGAGGCATTGCCTAAAAAGTTTTGAGAATTCAAGAAGATAAACTTTTCTTTCCCCCGCGTTTTGCCGGCGGGAAAGAATGCCCTGTCGCATTTGCCGGCATTTCGGCTTCGAAAAGACGCGTAAATAGGGTCGAGTGCATGGCTGCGTAGGTATTTACGCGTCGTACGATTACGTTCTCGAGGCGTCTGCTCTTTGGAGGTGTCGGGGCGCGTTTTCGAGGGTTGCCGAGAGTCGCCCGGAGCCTTTGCGAAGGGGTTTTCGTCGGGGGTGTCGGCTCGAATTACGCGATCCAAGGATTCCTCTGATTCGTAAGCTATCTCGAGCAGAAAGGCTCTCTCGTCTCCGTGGGAAAAACTCAGCCCTACGTTGCAAACCTGTCTTGGTAATAAGAAAGGGCGATTTGTAAATTTTAAGGTGATATGGAAACGGCATCTGAGGGGTTTATGGCACTTTTCCCCCGAACTGGGTGTACCGAAACTTTTGAAATTTTACTACGCGAATATGGAGACCATTAGGAAGGTCTCGACAAATTGAAAAAAAAAAAAAAAATAAAATGAAATTTCACTTATACAAAATGAAGATGTTTATGAACAAATTAAGAGAAAATTAAATCTCATGGGTTCCAGGTTCTTCCTTAGGACCTCTATATTAACTTAATAAAGTTTAAAACGACTCGGGATACTTTGATCGGAGAAAAGTTTCGTAAACGAGATCTCACTTTCATATCACCTTACGACATTTCTGAATGACACATTTTGAGAGAGTGAATTTACGAGACACTTTGTATTTTATTGCTTAGTACATGAAAGGGTGGAAGTAATTTTACTATGGAATAATTTCAGCCATTGGCCCTACGTTGGAAATTACTGTTACAAAGATTCATTGCTGCGTTGAAAAATTCAATGTTAAATTCCTTGGCACATACTTGACCGGAATAATGTTTCACAATTCGTGAACGTACATAGAAAACTGAATAACATTGCACCGTACTTTGATAATACACGTGACGTAATTTTGTAAAAGCATTTATAATTTTAATTTCCATCCTTGCGAGCTCTTTTCTGCCAATTAAAATGTAACGACGTAGCTTCAATTGTCAGTATACTTCTGAACCAGGCCTAGAGGAGATTTCCACGCGGAGGAATTCAATTTCAATTCCCTTTTTCAGAAAACTTCCAAGCGATGTCGCCGCGCGCGATTCCGGCATTTCTGTACAATTTGCAGAATTCTGCCGGATACAACGTAGCGAAGCCGATTGTCCGACCGGCGGCTTTTCATCCTCATCATCCGGCTCATCCCGGTCATCACCCTCTTCAACATCACTTACCACCGAACGCTCACCACAACTTGCACCAATTACTCGCCCATTGCAGTAGCTACATTACTGGTAAGTACATCGGACTACGACGGTTGTTCTCTTTTTATCGTAATTCCCCTATCGGGGATGATTTATAGAGACGTTCTTGACGTATGCGAACATACCGAATCGCATATAACGAGGCAGCGAACAGCTGTTCAAATCCAAAATTGTCATCAGCCCTGGACCCGGCGAACGCGAATCCGGGTACACGTGCATTTCACGTGTCTTGTTATAGGTAGGCTCGCACGGGACATGGAGTGCATATGAAGTGCAGTCAAAGCACTAGCATATTATGTACATGCACCGCCACAAGCAAAACGCACGCATGCAACAAGTGCGTGCAAATATCATCGAAGCGGATAATATCTTCCTGCTCTGGTCTGCGATATCGCCGGGTCGAATCCCCTGGGATTAGACGTGTCCAGATTTGCCGGCAAATCTGCTATTTGAGTGATAGCATATCATAAATACGATATTCCCTAGTAGCATAGAATCATTTCTAAATATTTCTTTGTAATCCTTGCTAAATATCTTAAGCGGCAGATTTTTTATGATTTCTTGTAGATTTCATTAGAAGATATCTGAAATACTGTTTTTTGAAATTTCTTGAAAAACTCAATGACATGTTTAGTTTTAATCATTTATGAACGTGTATAGAAATTATATTTCTTTAGTTTATGAACATATAATAAAAGTACATTTTTTACTTCACGATTGTTATCGGACACTTCATTTGGTATAAAAAAACTCGAGAAATTTTTGTAACATTTTCGTCCCGCTATTTCATTATAGGAGCAAATAGTGTGATTTTGTTAGCTTAGGAACATATAATAGAAATACATTTTTTACTTCACGATTATTATCGGACACTTCATTTGTTATCAAAACACACGAGAAATTTTTGTAACATTTTCGTCCCGCTATTTCATTATGGGAGCATCTAAAGGAAATGTTTCGCAAATATTTCAAATGTCTGTTAAATATTTACACAATGTATGATATTCGTTAAATATATAGAAAATATTAGACAAATATTTTGTGCTACTAGGGTTAAATCGAATGACGTGTCCAGAGACGTTCAAGAGATGTATACATTTTGGTGTAACGTCCTTAAACTTGAGATAGATCCACTTTAGTATTAAATCTTGTCAATCGATCGGAATTCACGTAATTAAATCGATATCAATTTAACACGTTCGGCAGGTATCATTTACTGATAATAAACAAGTCCCCTCGTTTCGTAAGAGTCATTTTCTCTTAGCACGAAGTGCGCATGCGGATACGTGTAAATTACTCTATTAACAACGCAAAAAATATTTCTATTATCTTTTTATGGCTTTCCTTGCCATTTGTCGGTTTCAAGGTAACTTAAGTAATTTCTTTAGTTTTATTTACATCGGATTGGGACAATTAGCAAAAAGTGAAGGTCTTGGTTCCCCAGGAAGCATAAATTCAGGGTACACGGGGAAATCATTTGACTTTTGCTGGTAGATTGATTCGTAGAGTTAATTATATCAAATCAGCGAACTACCAATAAAATCATCATGTATCCCCGCAGTTACGGGATCATCGTAAACAGAACTTCTATTCTACTAATCGAATAGAATGTCGAATTCGAGTTCTAGAGAAAATTCAAGGTTCTCGGTAAACAGGGGTAATTTTTGGCTAATTAATTTCTTTTCTTCCAGTAGCTACTCCCGGTTCCGGAAGTCCTCATCCCGGTGCTCCAGTTGGCGGCGCTTCCTTTCCGGGAACGATCCAAGGAGGATTGGGCGATCTGTCTTCGATCGGTATCGGATTCCCGTGGTCCGGATGTCCGCGTGGGAAACCGCGAAGGGGGATGATGAGAAGAGCCGTCTTTTCGGATATGCAGAGACGCGGTTTGGAAAAGAGGTTCCACGTGAACAAGTACATCAGCAAGCCCGATCGCAAGAAACTCGCCGAAAAACTCGGGCTCAAGGACTCGCAGGTAAATTTCAAGTTTTCCAACGTAAATGCCATATAAAGGTTTAATTAATATTATTCGGCAAATCTGTGACTAGCGATCACGAAGTTCTTTGAAAAAAAATCTTCGGTTTCACAAAATACTAAGAACTCTCGAAGTCGTAGGATTTTATCGTTTCCGATGTCTCAAAATGTCAATGCTTTTGTCATGTCACAATTTTAATACCATTGTGGGGAATTAGTAATTTAAGGTAATGTGAAAGAAGCATCTAGGAAGACTCGTTTATGAAACTTCTTTTCGAACTGGGTGTACCAAACCATTTTAAATATTACCTCGTGACACTCATGAAATTTCATTTCTTTTTTTACATCTTTTAGAAACAATTGTCTACATTTATATCAAAAATGAAACTGAATTGGTGTCAGGATCTTCCTTAGAATCACCATAAGCCACGTGGGAAAATTTCAACTGATTTTGTACATTCAGTTCGGACAAAAGTTTCATAAACTATTGGATCCTCAGATGCTGCTTCACATCACCTTAATTAATGTGAATAAAACTTAGTTATAATTGTATGAAAAGACTACTTTGCCGGGCATATTTTCCATTGATATGTATACGAAGGATACGAGAAGCCATAAATTCCGTGAAGCGATTTAATCGAGACTTTGACATTATGCGTCGCCATTGTTAGACCGATGTACTTTTGTTTTCTTTTTTAAATTTGTCTTAAATATCATTTATCTCACTTTTTAGATTGTTAACCGTTATGGGATATGCGAATAAATGTTAAGATAAAAATAATGAAAAAGTGTCCAGTATTCCACTCGTGACGTTTTCCTTCATAATTTAAAAATTGGGTAATTGTGTATTTTACGTCAAGCTAATCAAGAATAATGAAAAGGCAACATTGCACAAGTACGCAAAGAAAGATAGCCTTACCCATTTTCTTTTAGTTTTGCTTTAATTTCATTGCCCGATATTAAGCAACAGTATATACAAAAAAATTCCGCATCTTAAAAATGACCAGCGTACAATTTTCGTTAGAATTTATATCCGATATTTTCAATTAATGCATCGGCCGAACAATGGTGGCGCTAGGATGCATAGCCATTTTTTTTAGTTTTGCTTTAATTTCATTGCCCGATATTGAGCAACAGTATATACAAAAATATTCCGCAGCGTACAATTTTCGTTAGAATTTATATCCGATATTTTCCATTAATGCATCGGCCGAACAATGGTGGCGCTAGGATGCATAGTCATTTATAATTCGTTTCAGCGATAGCGTGGCTAGGATGTAGCAATTTCATATCATTATTACACGTATCAGTGACATTTTCCTCCACCTCCAAAAGAGCTTTCGAACTGACCTATTCCATTTGAGGTTCGGTTGCGATTTTTTGTTCCTATGCAAACGCGGTAATCGCCAATGTTTCGAGGTACCGTTATCGGATTGCATCGTAAACCTAATCCCAATTATTCGGCTTAGACACGTACTCGTCGGAGGCGGAGTATGGCGAAATGGTCCGCGATATAGCGCAGCCGGAATATACGGAGCTTAATGACCTTATGGGCTTATTAAGGCACTAATTGTCGGGTTAACGAAGTGCGAAACCCTCCGGTAACTCGGCTCCTCCGCTCTAAGCTTCGCCCGACTCCATTCACCGGATTGATAGAGACTAATGCCCCCCTCGAACTTACAGACCGTAAATATACCTATACCCCCTCGATTGCCTCGCATGTGCCAAAGCCTATTCACTGACAGATTCGACACCTCACCCACGATATATCCTACACGACCTTCGTGAAAAACTCCAGATGGAATTAAAGCCTCTCCTTCTTACTTCAACAATTGGTCCCCTTCAAATCAGTCGATTCGAATACAACACTTTTTTTTAAGGGTATTAGACCAAACAGTCCGAAACTTTGACACATCACTCCTGATCATCTAAGAATTGTCCTGACACATTTAAAATTTTGATTTTTTGACAACATTTTTTAACTTATCCCAGACCAGGACCAAAACGGCGTCGAGCTCTCATATTTCGATCAATATACAATCATCTAAGAATTGTCCTGACACATTCAAAATTTGGATTTTTTGACAAAATTTTTTAACTTATCCCAGACCAGGACCAAAATGGCGTCGAGCTCTCATATTTCGATCAACATACAATTATCGAAGGCTCTGATGTGAGAAACGAAAGGGTCAGGACAACTTTACGATAATTTAGAACACTTTGATGAACGATAAACTCGCATTTGAACGGAATAAAGGTAAAAAAAAGTGTTGTATGCGCTTCTATGCCAAAACGATGGGAATGCGAGGTCTCGGAGTAAAAATTTAATTGACCTGGAAATCACAGATAGTGCAGAGGGTCTCTCTGCAGTCGATTAGGGCCCCAGAAAGCATGAATTCAGAGGATTTCTGGAGTTTTATTTCGATTGCTTGATATTCATTTTACGAAAACAACAGGTGGAGTATGCCATTTGGTACAATATCCAATATGATTCGACACAGCTGTCAATATAAAAACGAACGTCGGATAACGTAGGCATTTAAAAAAAATCTTCTATATCGACGTCGATCAAGTTCCTCGACGTGTTTCACTTCACCTTAAGAAGGATTACAAGGTTTATTCTCAACGATATAAGCCTGGCGGAAGACATCAAACAACATATTACTGCAATAATTGCCCCGATAAGCCGAGGATGCATCTTGGCAATTGTTTTATAAAATATCATACAAAGCAACGGCAATCCTTAATATTTAACAAATTGTCTTCTTTCACATATAAGGACACATAGAATATTAAAATATAATAGTTTTAAACGTTAATTTGTATGTGAAATTATTTTAAGTTAGCTGGATGAAATTCACCGAGTATGCGGAAAATCGTCTCGAGTTGCTGGCTCGTCCGGGCGAACAAAGGTCTCGAGTGCAAAGGGTTAACGAGGAATGACGTTACATTATGTAAAATTTTAAAAAGACACAGGTACTGAGAAATACTCAGGGTTGACACAGATTATTTCTTAAAAACATAATTCCTGACTAGCGGCGTCTAGCTGGAAAGGAGAATCGAATGCGATCATCGATTCCATCACCCTTTTATTCGATACATTTGGTGGAATCGTACGAAAGCGTCGGGGAATTTTTGTAACTCACCCTGACAGTTATTAAACATAAAACGAGAGAGCCGTGTGTCATTTGACGTTTCTAGAAATGTTACACAATATAAGTGAAACTTCCTTGAATAAGCGTCAGGTTGAGAGACGTGAACATTCGAGAGGGAATCCACTAGTGCTCGAAGGTTGAGAATAGGCTTAAGGGGATGTGAAAGTGGCATCTCAGGGATCAATCGTTCTTGAAACTTTTCTCCGAATTGGGTATACCGAATTGTTTCAAATTTTACAATGTGAATACGAGGGCTACAAGGAAGGTCCTGACACTCATAAACTTTCATTTTTTATAAAAAATTTTGAAAATATCTGAAAACAAATTTAAAAAAATGAAAGTTTCATGAGTTTTAGGATCTTCCTTACACCCTCCATATTTGTATTATAAAGTTTGAATCAATTCAGTACACCCAGTTTGAAGAAAAGTTTCACAAATGAGACCTTTCTGACGTTACTTTCACATCCCCTTAATCTCAGACGTGAATTCGTTTCTCGTAGAAGCGACCACCATGTAGAAATCAATCTTTATCGAGATAAACTAAACTGTTATTCACCCGAGGAAGGAAGAGTTTCTTGAAAGCAAAACGTTCTTAAGGATGCTTTTAAGACGAAATAAAACTAGTCCTCAGGTGGGAGAAAATCATCTGCAAATCGTTACGAAGATTAGGAGAAGAATGAGGGAATTCTGGACGCCCGAGGAGGTATCTTGCAAGCAAAAACAAATTCAAGGATGCTTGCAAGGGTAGGAGGCGAAATTAGCGAGGCGAATCTACTATTAACAAGTCTATATTTTCCGTAGATTCACAGGTAATTAATTGGCTTATTGTTAAAAATGATACGCGTAAGCCTCAAGGAGACGTATAGAAACTGGTCCAACCGCTTCCATGATCCTTGATCAAGTGCCGTTCCTGTCCACTGTTCGTAGGGACGGTCTTGGTCTAGACATATCAGTTGTTTAGGCAATGATCACGTCTTCTAAACAATGCTCACGTCTTCTAAACAATGCTCACGTCTTCTAAACAATGCTCACGTCTTCTAAACAATGCTCACGACTTCGCGCCGTGATTCTTAGAATAGGCCCGCCGATGAACCTCCGATCATTTTGCCTTTGAATTATTTCCATCAATTAAAAAAAAAAATGGTTTAAAATTATTATTAGGAAAGGGAGCGAATTCTAAAGGGTGTGCGTTTGTTCTATTCGTTTTCCTTTTTTTTTGCAAGCTCGCAAATTTCTATCGTTTACATTTCGTTTGCTTGTGCATATATTCGTACAGGGGAGCTCAGCGGGGAAAGATAAAGCGAGGGAAACACGTTTAGGTCGTATCAGGCGTAGGTGGATAAATGCCTAGGTCGAGGTTAATCGGGCGATGCCGGTTCGTTGGTCGCACACATTCAATCGCTCTCTGGCCAGCGTGGCTCCGCGACGCTAATGAAACTGAACACACCTGGAAACGGCGCTGAGTTAGTTTCATTTGATTTCATGAGCGTAGTTCGACACTTCGGCGGACCTCTCCGCCGCCCCCGCACACGTGCACCACTCTTTTGTGTCGATCGTCAAGTGGCGCTTCGAATTTCCGTGTTTTGCGATCGCGGCATTAGTTTTGTTCCGCTCGACCTTTTATGTGTCCCTAACATAATTTAGGAGAGACGCTAAATACGGACGATAATTATCGACAATAAAGATCTTGACGAGGGTCTCAATGTCGCGATTTTCTCTAACTGGAAAATAAATATTGATGGTTATTATTTAATAGACAAGTACGTTTAAATTGAACGAGTAGCGCGGGAATTTTTCAAATGTGGGCTTTCAATTTGAATAAGGTTCACTGTGGTAACTTTTTTGT